CGTTATGATACTAGAACTAATACATGTAATGTATACAGAGAATCCATGATGCTTATTTCAGCTTAACCATGACAGCATAATATGAAAACATCATTACATGCAAACACAAGATTTCGATGCGACTAACTACAAAGGACAACATGACACACTTTAGCACTTACCCACAGTTCATGTCGTTGTTTGCCATTTGGATTTGAGCTTCGCAAGCTTTACTGCAAACTGGACATAGATCCAGTCGCTGGCCTCGTCGATCCATCGGAAGAAAGCGAATCTGATGGCCTGCTTCATGATGAGCGTGCCAATAAACAGCCAAAAGCCAACCACAAATCCGATCACAACACTGGTGTACTCCAATAATTTGTCGAGCTTCTCATCATCTTCATGTTTAACTGTGGCGTCAGGTGGAGTTTGATAAACAGGGCAATCTGGCAGTGGTATACCGCAAAGGCCTTTATTACCCACATATGTCCATGAGTCAAAGGTCGACAATTGACCACTCGTGGGTATTTTTCCTGATAAGTTGTTGTAAGACAGATTCAAACGTTCCAGGAAATGCATAGCAGAAAAGCTCGAAGGTATCTCCCCTGTCAGACTGTTCACAGATAAGTCAAGTGATTCTAACAGTTTCATGTCACCCATCTTTTCTGGAATCCTCCCCGTCAAATGATTGTTGGATAAGTTTAGGAAGCGCAATCCGAGAAGCTTTGTCAGGTCTTTTGGGATTTCACCAGAGAGCTGATTATTTGACAAGTCTATGAATGTCACGAGCGAGAGAATGGTTGTGTAATCAGCAATTTCCCCTTTTGTAGTTAGCAAGATGCTCTCGCTATAAGAATAGTATTCTTCAACTATTAATCCATTTGATGTGAATAATCTGCTCTCGATATAAGAATAGTTTTCTTTAAGCCATGACCATGTTTTATTTTGTACCTCAACCATGGCAGTGAAATTTCCTAGAGATGATGGTAGGCTACCAAATAAATTGTTGGAAGAAAGATCCAAAACCTGAAGAAAAGTGAGATTCGCTATGTTCTCAGGGATAACTCCATATAATAAGTTTGACCTCAGACGAAGAACCTTCAATGACGAGAGGTTTCTTCCTATCCATTTCGGAATTTTACCAAATAATTTATTTTCACCAAAATCAAGGATAATTAATTGGTCACAGTATTTCAAAAATGAAGGAATCCTTCCAGATAAATTGTTATTATTTAAATGTAAAGATTGTAGAGAGATTGGAAATGAATTATGACAATCCGGGACTTCTCCAATTAAGTGATTATTAGATAGGTCAAGAACTCCAAGCAAATTCAGATTACAAAAGAAGGGAGGAAAATCACCATTGATATGATTATGAGACAAAGATAATAAAGTGAGTCTTGTAGCTTCTTCGAAGCTCAACGGTATGGGTCCGACAAATGAATTGTTGGAGAGATCTAACATGGATTGGGGAGCAGAAGGTAATTGACCAGTCAAATGGTTGGAGCTCAAGTTAAGATTGTATAAACCTTTTGAGAAATTTAAAAACCAAATAGGGAGGCTGCCTGAGACTCCAACTCCAGATAGATAAAGTCTTTGCAATTGTTGTTGAGTCCGAATCCAAGCAGGAAATTTTCCTCTGAGATGACAAAAGCTCATATCGATAGTGATGGCACTAAAAGGGGGCCGCCAATCAAGGAGTTGGAAGCGATTATCAATTCTGATAAGCTTGTAAGATTTAAAAAGTGTGCTTCAGTGATGTTGCCTGCCAACGAGTTTGAGGAGAGGTCTACCTCTTGTAGCCGAGATAATTGGCCCATACTTGAAGGAATAATCCCGCTCAAATTGTTACCCTTTAGGACTAAGGATGATAAAGATGCACCTTGTGAACAAGTAGACAAACCATGGAATAGATTTGTAAGATCTCCACCAATGTTATTGTGAGACAAATCTAACATGGTCAAATTGCATAGATCACCCAATGTCGTTGGTATTTGACTTGATAAGTTGTTATATGACATTTCCAAGTTTTGCAAGTAGTGGAGTTTACCGATTGTCGTTGGCATCCGACCTGATAAGTTGTTATATGATATGTCCAAGTACCACAAGCGATGGAGTTTACCGATCTTCTTTGGTATCTGCCCAGAAATATGGTTATTGCTTAAAAATAACATCCGTAGATTTTGAAGATCCCCAATGGTTTCTGGTATTTGTCCAGAAATACGATTGTTAAACAAATATAATTCCTCCATATGGATGAGAGTACCCAAAGTCTCTTGAATGTATCCGCTAATATTATTCCTCGATAAATCTAAGTGTACCAAGTTGGTGAGGTTGCCGATGCTCGGTGGTATCCATCCCACAATTTTGTTGCCTGATAAATGTAATTCCAATAGGTTACTGAGGTTGCCGATGGCCTGTGGTATTTTTCCGTTGATGCCATTATTGGACAAATATAGGTACTCCAATCGGACAAATTTTCCTACGGTTGGTGGAATTTCTCCACTGATTGAATTGTGCCACAAGTCTAAATGTCGCAAGTTTGTGAGATTCCCCAGAGAAGCTAAGATATGCACGTCGACAATTAAATTCGTTGATAAGTCTAGCTACTCCAGGTCTCTAAGGCTCCCTGGAGGAATATCTCCAAATAATTGATTCCAGCTCAAATCCAAGTGCTTCAGGCCCCTGCTACTGACATTGTTCAGAATTTCACGAATTTCTCCTTTAAGGGAGTTGGCTGATAAATCCAATTTCTTCAGATTAAGGAGAGCTCCTAGAGCAACTTGTACCGACTCGATAGTGAGACTCCCACAGCCAGAAAGAAGGAGGTACTCGAGGCTGGTGGCGTTAGAAAGCCATCTTAGCATGGCAGACGTGGCGTTGGAATTCCCAGACAGATCCAACGTAGTGATGGCTGTCAGATTAAAAGTGGGCAAAGGAGATGGAACATATGGCAGGTCTGCATGGCTCAAACGCAACACTTCGAGTGCGGGAATGGAATTAATTACATAAAACCAATTGGTCACCTTGGAGAGGTTGACAGAACTCATGTCAAGATATTTTAGAGAAGGAACACGGGAGAGCCAATCGAGATCATCAACATGTAGAAGATCATCATAATACCATCCCTGAAGGTCGAGATAGTGTAGGTTTGAGAGGTTCCCCAGCTGAGGAGGAATCAGTCCATCGAACATGGCATTAGATAGGTTGAGATATTCCAAGTGGACCAGTGAAGCGATCATTGTGGGCACAGGAGCACCCGAGAAGTTATTCATGCTCAAATCCAAATACTTCAAATGCTTCAGTTCTTGCAAAGAAGGATTTACCTTGCTCCCACCCATTGTTTCCATGATGTCTGAGATATCCGACTTATCGTATGTGTAGGGGTAGT